CTGCAGGCATACAAGGAATTAAGTGTAAGCGGGTATATGCCACCTTCTGGCACACCAGACCAGCGATGGCAAACCTATGGCACACATGCCACAGAGGGCATGCAGAGACCCCCTGGTGGCACGCGAGCCTAGGTGCCAGTTGCTGTGGCCGACACACTCCAGGTTCCCAACTGGGGAGGTCCGCGCAGGCCTCCAGTGTCCCACCAGTCTCTGCATCATATTACATTTTTAAAGCTGGCAGCCGCTGCGAATTCTGTAAACCTGCCCAGATCCTCATTTAATATATTACTAAACTGGCAATATATTCAATGAAAATCCTTTCGTGGTGGCCCAGTGGAGGATTAGTATGCTGATGCAGACCATACCAATCGCTCTCTTGTGGTGCTGCCGCTCACAGGCAAAAGCGATTAGTATGGTCTGCAGATCACACTGATCCTCTTGTACAGTGGTCCCCAACCCCTGGGCCGCGGCCCGGTACCAGTCCGTGGATCAAATGGTACCGGGCCGCAGGCGAAGCAGCGCTCCCGACTCTGCTCTGCCCAGCTCCATGTCACAGACTTTACTGCGGTTCATTGTAAAAACTTTGTACAATGAACTGCAGTAAAGTCTGTGACACGGAGGAGGGACAGCTGTATGTTTCGGCGTGTGTGCTGTGAAGACAACAGGCGGCACATGCGATCACATCACTGTTAGCCTGGCTGGGGCGGAGCCTATACACGTCTCTGCAGGCACCCGCAGCCACATCCTGGTATGTGGGTCAGCGTGAGTGAGGACGCTCTCCTGTGACCCCTCCCCTCCACTGGCCGATTTTTAATGAGTGTGATCTGTGTCTGTGTTTTTTTAATGTGTGTGTGTTTTTTGAGCATGTGCGATATGTGTGTGTTTTATGAGTGTGTGATAAGTGCGTGTGTTTTTATAATGAGTGTGATATGCGTGTTTTTTTTATGTGATATGCATATGTTTTCAATGAGTGAGTGATGTGCGTGTGTGTTTTTCAATGAGTGTGTGATGTGTGGTTTTTTAATAGGTGTGTTTTTTTAAATGTGTGTGATATGTGTGCGATGTCTGTGTGTGTTTTTTTAATGTGTGTGATGTGCTTTATTTTTTAAAGAGTGTGTGATGTGTGTGTGTTTTTAATGAGTGTGTGATGTGTTATTAATGAGTGTGTGATGTGTATGTGTGTTTTTAATGAGTGTGTGATGTGTGTGTTTTTGTTAATGAGTGTGTGATGTGTATGTGTTTTTAATGAGTGTGTGATGTGTGCGTTTTATTGACTGGGTGTGATGTGTGTGTATTTAATGTGTGATACACGTGTGTGTGATATGTGTGTGTTTATGAATGTATGATTACATGTGTTTGTATCTGTGTGTTTCCCTATTTTGCCTAAGGCAGTGATGCTGAACATTTTTTAAACCCCAGTGCCAAAACTAAAACACAATACTAAATGTATTTTCAGTGTTGGCACTTTGAGATAAATAAATTGATTTTATGTTGCAGTTTGTTCAAAAATGTTACTCATCACTGCACTGGACAAGCAAAGCTCCTATACAGCAGCCACTGCATCTTTTGCCCTTCCCTCCTTTCCCCTTGTCCAATCACAAAACTATTTGAAACCAAAGCATTCTGTGAATGGAGAGGAGAGAAGAGGAGTAGGCAGTGCGGCTGCTATACAACAGAGACGGAGCTCTCCCATCAGAGCGCTAGTAAAGGGATACTTTCTGTGACAGTGCAGAACAAGGCATGGTAAATCAGCAATGGGGAATATTCAGCTGCAGGAAAAACCACAGGCAATACTGATGGCTAGTTCCTTGTCTGCCTTTTTTGGCTGATGCCTAATTCCTTGTCTGCCTTTTTTGGGCACCATGTCCACAGTACAAGTCCTCCTTAACTCTTGTTTCATGTAACACCTATATTCAGGCTGTAAGTGGTCACAGGAACAGTGTTGCTTTGGGCCGGAAGAATTGAATAAGTGGTGTCTCAATTAAGCTGTCACTTCAGCACCACGGATAGCTCTATATTGGAGACAACACACAGCACTATCAGCTGTTTACAGATTGAGAGTCAACTGTATCAGCACCACAGACAGCTCCCTCACCTGTATATATGTTTACATTAGGATTATAGGAATTGAACGAGAGGAAAAAAAATGAAGCTCCTTTTTTCAACAGAATAGCAATGATTCCCAATAGCGAAAACTGGCACAGGCCCAATATTGAATTTTAATAACCATAACAAAAGTAAAACCCCACATAAGTACTAAGATAAGCTTCCAAGCATGCCATGGAATGGTATATTAAGGGAATATCCTACAACTGAGCCAGACAGCATAGAACAACAGTGCTTTGATATTTTTGGCCTGCAAATATGATTATGCAGACCTGAAGAAACTCTTTGATTGAGGCAGGGGAGGGTAGCCTCAGCACTTCAGCTGTGGTGAAACTACAAGTCCATGGAGGCATTGCAGGACTATAAAAGCCACAGGCATGGCTCCCAGAGGCAGAAGCATGATAGGATTTGTAGTTTTGCCACCGATGGGGTGCTGAGGTTGCCTACCCCTTCATTAAAGGCTGGTTCACACTATCTCCATGGAGCTGTGTTTTTTACACATAAAAACCGGGGCACATACAAATTGTATTCTCTGTTAATAACACATATGTGCAGTGGTGGCAGAAAAACGCAGCTCAACGGTTATGGTGTGAACAAGGCCTTTTAGAAAATGTTAAATAAGAATAAAGCCAATACCCAGGAAAAAATTAACTTTATGCACAACAAAAATGTAACACTCATATTTGTCTAGAGGGATCTTTAAAGCAGGTTTACTTACCCGATCCCTGCTTCTGCAAGATGGGCACCCGCAGCCTCTTCCCCCCTGCATGCGGACTGTCAGAGGCCCAATGATGTCATCAAGTACAATGCAGGGCTCATTGTCCTGTATTATAAGTGACGATAATGAGGGACAATCTACATGTTGTCGCATAGGGGAGATGACTGCCAATCGCCATTGGAGTGGGGATCAGGTAAGTAAAAGTCCTTTACAAAGCTTCCCGAGACAGAAACGAGCAATTTACCCTTTCAGGGGTAGTTTTTTTTTTTTTAAATGGAGATAGGCTTTAATACTTTTTAACCTTGTGTTCCAGAGCTTGTTCATGCCATGGTCGCTGAGCTGCGTTTTACTGAAGCTGGTATTTACAGGTCAGATAGAACACAATTTGCATGTGCCCTATTCACACCACACATTGGGTGCAATTTATCAAAACTGGGGACAGAATCTGGAGAAGTTGCCCATAGTAACCAATCACCTTCTATCTTCACTTTGTTCAGTGAAGATTTGAAAATGAAAGATAGAAGTTGATTGGCTGCCATGGGCAACTGCTCTAGTTTTGATCAATTCCCCTCATTGGGGGCAGAAAATGCAGCTCAACGGACATACAGGGGAATTTATCAAAACTGGAGCAGTTGCCCACGGGCAAGCAATCAGCTTCTATCTTCCATTTTCAAAGCTTAACTGATCAAACTGAAGAGAGAAGCTGATTGGTTACTATGGGCAACTGCTCCAGATTCTGTCCCCAGTTTTGATAAATTCCCCCCCTAGTGTGAACAAGCCCTTAAAGTAATGCCCAGGTAAGTGTCTAATATTTGAGGGCGTAGGTAGCCCAATACAAGTGTAGATTTTTCATTCTTTTTTTTTTTTTACCCGGAGATAGGCTTTAATTTACTTTTTACTCATAAGACTGCTAACATTTCATCACTCCTGGGCACGCCGTGCTTAAAAATCCAAGATGCCGATTGTGTAAAAACTAGCAGAGGACACACAAGTGTAAATTATATTACTATCACAGTCCTTTATCAGGAAGCTAAACGGTTTACTACATATATACTTTTACCTTCATCCGGAAGAACAGTGCAAGGTACCGGCTGGTTTAATAAGGATTAGAGGTAATTAGCTCACAAAGAGCCCCATCCACTTAGAGCATGAGGCGCCGGCCGATTATCTGCAAACATACCTTGAGGAGGATTTCTGAATTAAAGATTCTGCTAATCTCAAGTGTAATGTCACTTTTGGGGCACCGCGAGGCTGAGGCATACATATTTCATGACAATAAGTGGATCCTGAACAGAGCCCAGTCTAAAAAAAACCAGGTGATACATGGCTGGAGCCTACACAAACATCAAGAACATTGCAACCTTGAACAGCAGCAGGAGAGGGAGGAGAGAGCTGGTAACCCATTGAATGCTGAAGGCACTTGCAGGAGGAGGCCATATCTGCAGTAGAGGACCTAGTAAAAGCACACACCTCCAAATGTGCTCTTTTGTCCTGACCCAAACGTTACGCCAGGTTTAAAACATCTGCCTCTACCTCTGACGCCTGCATCTCATTCGGATGCTTCCGTTTAATGACATGAGGACAGATGTCAAGGTGTAATCCTGCACAGGGGTGCCTGACGATACATGGACATTGATGAGGGAAGAACACAAGGACGGCAGTGACAATGAAGTTCAGAAGAAGGTACATGGAACAAAAGCTGTGTAATGTCATGCATGGCCCTGACACTATTTGCAGAGGGTGATGCATCTTAAAGTAGACTGTGTCCCATTGTTTAGGAGCCCACCACACAGATGCCAAGCCCAATGACCTTCCGGTGTCCCTTAAAAAGGAATCAAACTGCAGCATGAGCCATCAGCAGCACATCCATGCTAATGAGTGGCTGCTGTCAAGATTCCGGAACACTACAGGATGATGACAGCGGTCAATGGCCATCTGTCACCTGTAGGAAGAGAAGCTGGCGATTGGGGTCCTTTGTTGGACATTGGGGGTCACCTCTATGGGGGGAGAGCCGTCATACGCACTGCACCCATTCCTCCTTACTACTAGCCAAGCTCGTCACGGCTGTCACACACACACATACTGAGATCACGCAACAAGCAGAGAGGAGCTACAAGTCTCGTAGTAACAACTCGTCCCCACACCATCCCTGTGTGCCCTTTTGGCCGCATGTTACCTGAAGTCACTGTACGGGTGTATGATCCAGGCCCCCGCGGATTTCACCCTCTCCTGCTCCCTCTCCACCGCTTTCTCGCTCCCGAACATCCGAAGGGAGAACTTGTTGACCCCGGGTTGAAGCATGGCAGAAAGCTGGCGCTGCATAAAGCCGGACCGAGGATCCCCTTCTCCGGCCTCGCCATCCTCGGTGTCTTTCCCCGGGGAGGACCCCCGCGGAGGTTCGGTGGAGAAGGACACCTTGTGTTCCCGGGGCGGCGTCTCGAAAAGCTCCCGCCTGCACTCCCCGTTCGGGCTAAGAGGGAGCGACCGCGGGGCGGGGGCACTCCAGGGGGCGGGTGCAGAAGGCAGAGCGGGCCAATGGCGAACGTAGAGGGCGGAAAGTTATGCGCGTGCCCAATCAAGGCAAGAAAGGCGTTCGACCTATCGGGGGGAGCTTTGCGCGGCTGTAAAATTACACATTTTTGGTGATGGGAGAAGAAATAGTTTCGCGAGGCGGAGTAACAACACTGCGAGCCAATGAAGAGCGCCGTAAAGCATCCCTACTCTCCGGGATTGAAAGTCAGAGAAATGGGCGTAACGCTGTTGGAAAGGAACAGAAGGGGCGGTGTAGAGGAGGAGCCAAGAGCGAGTATTACACAGGCGGTGTCTACGTGAGGGCGGGGCCTGGAAGGGGCGGTCTGTAGAGCTAGCGGTCACAGTGCTCGATGCTGTATTCGGAGGGCTGAGAGGGGGGCACATGGCTGGAGTGATCTGCCTGGCCTAGATTTTAGGTTGACACTAATCCTGTGGGTGCATTAGTAATAGGGAGTTTTCAAACATAACAGGTTACATTCTGCTAGAATCCTATGTCTACATGGGTAGTACGTACTTACCAGAGTTGAGTAACTTTAAAAAGGTCCCTGAATACCAAGTACCGGTTATAAAACACTCCTGTACTCCTAAAAGTTAGCTCCTGTGCTTTTCACACAGCTGGAAACTGCTAGGCATTGACCCGTGACTTTGACCTTGGATGCAGTGTTCTGGAGAGTACATGCCTAAAAGCGCACAACAGGTACATTAGATTGTAAGCTCCATGAGGGCAGAGACTGGTGTGAATGTGCACTATGTAAGAGTGCTCCGTAAATTGCCAGCGCTATATAAATACCTGTAATAAAGAAAAGAACATGAGAAAGAGGGTCACACCAGAGACAACATAAATACACAAATATTTCGCTGCCCTTCTATCCACAGAACACTCCTGAACGCTGGGAATTGCACATAAACAACCATTGTAGCGCAAGAGTTAAAGGATAATGCCACCTTTTTGGAAAAATACTAAATGCACACTTCTTCATAAAATAAAACATTCACCTTTATTATTTTTTGCATTGAAGCCAGTAAAATAATTCAACTGTGATCAGTAGATTGCAGGTGCAGTGCTCTAGTTCCTGCAGATTCTTCCTCCCGTTAAATGTCTTTACTGAGGTATGGACATTCAGTAACATGGATGGGAGGAAATGTCAATGGACTACAAGTGTGGTGATGTCACTGCACTGAAAAGTCGCTTGGCCGTGGTGGCTGATGGGACTTGTAGCTTTTCCATTCACAGATACTGTCAAAGGAAGTTTAATAAAGTAAAAGAAAAACAGTGCAGAAAAATATATTTACAGAAAGGATGCTACAACAACAAAGAGACAATAATACAACAGTGACACAAAAGGGCATAAGAATGAAGTTATTAAACCCCTTCATGTCCACTGACGTACATAGTACGTCATTGGCAGCAGGCCCATTTAAACAGACTCCTCTTTATAGCTCTGTATACAATTGTAAAGCTGGCTGTCATCTTTACAATTCTGGCAGCTCAGCGGGCGCCAGATTGCTTCTGTGGGCCCACAAAGTGCCTGCCCCTCACCGCCCAACACCCCCGATGTGTTTCCCAGGCTCTGCCTCCCCTCCTGCGGGCCCGGGACCGGCATGTTGGGTGCCCAGCGGTAAGCTGGGGAGGAGAGCAGCGAATTTCCGTTCACTGATCTCCTCCCCGCTCTGTGGGACCGGGAGCAATGACTATTACAACACTTCTGGTCCCTGAGCTGTCATTGTTCGGCTCCTGAAGCCCAGCAATAAACTATTGAAGTGCGATCGGGACTTCAATAGCTAATTTAAAGTCATTTTTTTTATTCTTAAAGCGTGCAGTTCCCCCTCCCAAACAATAGCAGACCCTTGAGGTCTGGTAGGAATATTGAGGAGGGACCCCATGTAAAAAAAAAAAAAAAAAAGTTTGTGGGGTTCTCCCTTAAAATCATACCAAGCCCTTTAAGGAGAATGATGGGGTTAGGGCTTTTCCCCATAGTTCTCCTTAGGGTAACGGGAAGACACAAACTAGCATCCTCCCGTTACCCTAAGCTCAGCTCGCGGTATACTGAGACGCCGCAGCTGAAGCGGATCCCGACAATTATGTCTGGATCCGCCCAGCTGCGTGAGTGACAGCTGGCTCTGCCTATCTAGAGGCAGAGTCAGCTGTACCCACTCCCTCCCCTGTCCGTTCCGCCAGTCAGCGCTGGCGGATAGCCGTGACAGGATCGAGAAGTGAGCGAACGCCGGTATGTGTTCGCTCACTTCCCGATCTACTGAGCCGACCTCTGACAGTCTCATTGTCACAGGTCGGCTAGAACTATGAGGTGAGTGAAAAGGAGGGGGGGAAGTGGGGCCCCCCTAAAATTCCATACCAGACCCTTGATCCAAGCGTAGGCCTGGCAGGGCCGGAAAGGGGGGGTGAGCAAGCGCCCCCCCCTTCCCTCCCACACCAGGCCACATGCCCTCAGCACTGGGAGGGTGATTTTTCAGGGTCGCCCCTGGAAAAGCACCTTGTCCCTGTGCCGATGGGGACAAGGGCCTCTTTCCCACAAGTCCTGGGGCGTCGGTTGTGGGGGTCTGCGGGCAGGGGGGCTTATTCACATCAGGGTACCCCTTTAATAAAGGGGCACCCAGATGCTGCCTTCCCCTTGTGAAGGAGTAAGGCGTACTTGTACCCCTACCCATTCACTAAAGGGTTAAATAAAATTGTACATAAAAAGTCCAGACTTTTGAAAAAATCCTTTATTTGGAAAAAAAACAAAAGACATGTTTTTGACAAGTCTTTTATTTTAATAAAAACCCCAAAGATTGATCCACCGTTGTAATCCAACATCAATCGCGACGTCCACAACAACTCGACGAAATAGAAAATAAAACAATGAAAAGTAAATAGAAATATTTTTTTTTAAACCCTGACGAGCGCCGTCCCGTCGCTGCGACGAACACCCGCCGCATAATGGCATTTTGTCAGATGCCGGTAACATATAAAAATTTGCGCCCAACTATTTACAGTTGTAACAGGGTGAGCCATGATTTCTGCAGAGTCATCATGACTTTGCCCAATGAAGGCTTTCACTGTTCTCTGTGCCCTGATTGGGCAAAGTCTTGCACCTGACCTATGGTCAGGTGCAAGGCTTTAGCCAATTAGAACTCACAAGGCACAGTGCCTTGTTGGGGGTGCGCAGCTGGCGAATAGCCAGACGGACACCCTGACAGTTTGTGTGTTCACCGAACATACGAACAGCCGATGTTCGAGTCGAACTCACATTCGGCTCGAACATCGAGCCCAACACTACTCACCAGCGAGCATGCAAAAAATACACTAACAGAGGTTTTAGTTGCAAAACATGTGGAAGCCATACTGCCTCGTCAAAGCTCCTCTGTGTAGTGTTGTCCTAACTGTAATCTGTGAGAGCCTCCATCTTGGAGCATATATAGCAAAGGATGAATTGGGTGCAGGTTTACCAGGAGGCATCCCATTCCTACTTAAAGACATAAAGTTGGGCTACCTCCAGGCGTACCTGCACCCAATTAATCCTTTGTTATTGATGCTCCAAAAAGGAGGCTCTAATAGATTAGAGTTAGGACCACACTACACATATAGGTCTTGACAAGGCAGTGCGGCTTCGACATATTTTGCAAAAGTTGTGCAGCGTGGCGGGATGTGATGTGGTACAACCGCCTCGCACCCCAAGTAAAATAATACTTGTAACATTTTAATAAAGTTCTAAAAACAAGAACACAGGGCAAAAAGCCAGGATCGGTGCATCAGCACTGTACCGGGCACTGCACACCAGCCGCTGTGCAATTTAGCCCAGCGGTTGGTGTGAATGGGCCCCAAATGGATCTGAATTTGGCTCTCTAGAAATCAGTGTCTTGGTGGATACAGTATTCTTTGATGGTAAAAGAACCAGCCTTCCCAAGCAGCTTTCTGGTCTTTGGGAAGGGTGTTGACAGAAATGAGCTGACCAATTACAGAGTCTGAGGAGTGGCTGAGGGTTTATGAGTGGGTCATTAGTTTATGATCATGCAGCTGCCACTTCCTTAGATACCGTTTTTAATATTTAATAATCTCAATAATACTTTAATATGCCTGTGGAGTATTTTTTGGTAACCAGTATATTATTGTACAGAATGGAATTTCCTATTGAAGGAATCTAAATATGGTTTGTCACATGCCTATATCACCTAGAAGATGAAGTGTGCCTAATCTAATACTATGTAATAATAATAATAATAATCTGCCCCCTATAATATAGGTATGTTTATTCCTTAACCTATGTTAATTAGTCGATACATGTGAATAGGTTCTTATTTTTGATGCAATTTAATCAGCTCAGAACTGATAAAAAACACATTCAAAATGTTGACTGCAGAGGGAGGCAGCTTTAGCCACACATATTGGTTCTGCATTCCAGCTACCTCAGCTGTCTCTGTGCGCACAGCCCAGAGGTCCATGTGGGGTCTGCACCCCAACCCCAAGCTTCCCTATCCCTGGAAAGAAAGATAAGAAAAAGTAACTGGCAGCTTGCCTTCTACTTGCAGGGGAGCTGCTAGGCCATTAGTGTGGCCCCTTTCTCTAGACCAGATGAGAGGGCTCAGCACCACCTTCACCTGGATACTGTACAGACAGGTAGGGATGAGTGTCCGCCACACTCATCCCTACCTGTCCCCCCACCACTTGCCCCCCTTTATCACACACAATCTGGGGTGAAGGACCCCAACGTGCACAATGATGTCTTAGAGTGACCTACACGTTCCACCCCCAACCTTTTTTATGACACCAAGCTACTCATTAATCCAATCCCACAGCATGCCAGCCCATCCGGCAAGGGTGGCAATCAGCAAGATGTTGGGAAGAAAGTGTTGTGTCAAAGGGGGCTCTGTCGTGCCACCTCAGTGCTTGGTGCCACCTTAGTGAGTCGTTAATGCAATCCTTTGAGGGGCTGCTCT